ATCTAGTTCATTTTAAATGAAATGCGTTAGCTGCTGTGCTACATCAGTTGTCCTGGATCGAGTGGTGCTGCAGTGGAGAAGAGCGGGTCAGTAAAGCTCTTCCGTACAGCTGTAAGTAAAGTAGATTTTATAGTTTTGTAGCGCAGCAACAGCGGGAATCACTTAACACTGCCCCAAAAACACTGATCGGTCCATCTCTAATAGTGATACTGTCACGTAGCCCAGCCGTATTTGTGAGACAGTCTACAAATTCTTTGACTCGTTACTTGACCATCTTTACGTATCGAATGAAGTAAACAGCTCTGGGAAATCATGTGATTGATGGAGGTGATTAAATGGCAGAAATAGTCACTTGTGTTTCCAGTTTCTCATTCCAGTCATCTGTGTAGCCTAAAATATTCCATTAGTCCCTGAAGAATTTCATAGCACCCATGCCATGTGTCCCCCCCATACCATCATGAATACTGGCTTTTGAACTGTGCGCTGATAACAAGCTGAGTGGTCTTTAGCCCGGAGGACACAGCGTCCATGATTTCCAAAAAGAATTTCAAATTTTGATTCGTCGGACCACAGGACACTTTTCCACTTCACCTCAGTCCATTTTAAATGAGCTCAGGCCCAGAGAAGGTGGCAGCGTTTCTGGACCCTGTTTACATTTGGTTTCTTCTTTGCATTTTAGGGTTTTAACTTGCATTTGTGGATGCAGTGATGAACTGTTTTCACAGACAGTGTTTTTCAGAAGTGTTTCTGAGCCCATGCAGTGATTTCCACTACAGAATCATGTCTGTTTTTAACGCAGTGCCCCCTGAGGGCCCAAAGATCACGGCCAGCAAATACTGGTTTTTGCCCTCGTCCCTTACATACAGAGATTTCTCCAGATTCTCTGAGTCTTTTAATGATATTCTGTACCGTAGATGATGAAAAGCAGAAGTTCTTTGCTATTTTATGTTGAGGAACGTTATTCTTGAATTGTTGCACTATTTGATGGTGCAGTCTTTCACAGACTCCGCCTCTCTGAGATGCTCTATATACCCAGTCATGTTACTGACCTGTTGCCAATTAACCACCAGATGGTTTTTTTTTTTTTTTTTTTAGCATTACGCAACTTTACCAGTCTTTTGTTGCCCCCGTCCCAACTTTTTAGGAACGTGTTGTTGGTACCAAATTCAAAATGGGGAGATATTTTTAAAAAAAAACAATAACATTTCTCAGTTTCAACATTTGATATGTTGTCTTTGTACTATTTTCAGTGAAATATAGGCTTTACATGATTTGCGCATCATTGCATTTTGTTTTTATTTACATTTTGCACAGCGTCCCAACTTTTTTGGAAATGGGGTTGTATTCCATTAGCAACTAAAGAATTTCATAGCATTAGCACTGTTTTTCCTCATTTTCTGTCTGGATTTCACATTTTTGGCCCAAACTGAAGGCCTCGCTAGTCGCCTCAGTTCGACACTGAGTGAAGTCTGCAGATGTACACAGTGGTTTTATTTGCAGACGACGTCTGCAGCCAGCAGTGCCTCCTTTCCTGCCACAGCCATATGTTCCTCTGTCAGGATGCCACAGATTATCAGCGCTGTCTGCCTTCTCTCATTAGCAGGTTGCTAATTAGCCTGTCACTGGCAGTATGTGCTCTGTATCAGTGTTGCTTTTAAAGATGTAATTGGTTTTAACTAATTGCATTTGGCTGTGACAAGATTTTTCAGGGCATTTGCGTAATAAAACATTTATGAAGTGTGCATAAACATTTATGAATGTTTTATTGTTATGCTTACAATTACTGACATTCATAAATGTGTATAGAGCTTGTCAGTAGTGTGTGTATTTTATTTACATGATTTTTTTTTTCATTTTGTGCTGCATAGCAACCACAATTAGAAGCCTTCAAATTATTTTTACCAGTGTTTATTAAAAATGATCTGATTAATGATCTCTAATTTAAAAGCTTAGTTCAGCCTTTGAACTCAGGGATGTGCTATGAGTGCTGTTGTGTGTTGTTTCTGTGGTGAATTTTCTTGCTTTGTTTTTTTGTTTTTGTTTGTGCCCCAACAATGCGATGTGCTGTAAGGATATAATGGAAAAAAAAGTTTATATGTACTTGTGATTATGGTTTTGAATCAAAGTTAGAGAAGAGAAGGTGAACGTGCTCAATATAATCGATGCAGCTGAATCACCACCATCAGACTGCACTGCATGTTTACACCCCTGTTTTAGTTCAGCTGATCGGTTTTCATTCAGTTAATAAAGAAAAATCCACAGGCAGTGGTGCTTCAGTGAAGACCTGGTTTAAAAGCCCGATTTATTTTAAAATTAGCAGTGAGTCACAGAAGTCTCACACATGCCTGACTGACTTTAAAAAAAGTAGAAGAAATTAGAAGAAAAAACAAGTATAATGTAGCTGGAATGGCGGCTCGTCTCCCGCTGCTTCTGAAATGTCAGATCTCATCGCCTGGTGTTTGTAGGAGGGTGTCGTGTAGTGAGAGGAGCTTCATGACTGCGGATCACCTGGAGGAGATCTTATCTAACACACACACACACACTCACACACACACACACTCACACACACACACACACACTCACACACACAGTGTGTAACAAATTCAGTGTCAAAAACTGAAAAGAGTGAGTGAAACAGTGTATGAACGTGTATAACTGTATGACCAGTTTGCTCCTCACTCTCTTCTGAGTGTCTCTCATTTAATGTCTTTTCCTGAAATCACTGTCAATGATCAAAACTAGGCACCTGGCCGGCCGTTCCAGTGGTATGAGCAACATACCCTCATGGATTTGGCCTCTCCATGTCCCTTTAAGGGCATCCTCTCTCTCTCTCTCTCTCTCTCTCGCCCTCACTCTCTCTCTCTCTCTCTCTCCTCTCTCTCTCTCGCCCTCACTCTCTCTCTCTCTCTCTCTCTCTCTCTCTCTCACCCTCGCTCACTCTCTCTCTCTCACCCTCACTCTCGCTCTCTCTCTCTCTCTCTCTCTCTCTCTCTCTCTCTCTCTCGCCCTCGCTCACTCTCTCTCTCATCTCTCTCTCTCTCTCTCTCGCCCTCGCCCTCGCCCTCGCTCTCGCTCTCTCAGGTGTTGTTAGCTTAATACCTTAAACTTCAGAGAGCGGAAATGGGTTTTAACCTTTGACCCTGCTGGTCGTAGGCAGTGATGGCAGAGCTGCTGTGTGGGGAGGACAGACAGAGAGGATGATGGGATTGTCGTGTCTCTGAGCTCAGAATAACACTCTCAATGATTCTCTCTCTCACACACACACACACACACACTCACACACACACACACACTCACAGTTACACATCCAGATCAGTTGTGGAGTTACACACCATCTGTCTGTGCCACACTGTGTGTGTGTGTGTGTGTGTGTGTGTGTGTGTGTGTGTGTGTGTGTGTGTGACCCTTCCTCTGAACTGCAGTCCGTAATAAAATATTTTTTAAAAATGTAAAAAGTGTTCAGACCATAAGATTAACAAGGATTCTGTTCTGATCTAAACTCAAGGCATTAATAGAGATAGTAATAAGCTAAATATATAAACATATACAAAATCATTATTTATAGGGTACTTTCTTATGGAAGATGTCTGTCCCAAAAACTAACATTTAAATTTATGCTTGGGAAAATAATACTTAATTTTTTATTTTCAATTTTTTTACATTTTTGAATTTTTGATTTAAAGTGAAGTTGAAAGATTTAAATTTATCATGAGTTTTATTTTTAATTTAAAAACGTCTTTCATAAAATTGCTGTCCTACGTTTTCATGTCACTACCGAAACACAGAGACTTTTAGTATGTAGGTGGAGTGTAATTTTAGCCACGCCCCTGCATTTTAGAGCAGGAAGCGAGGCCTCATGGCCACATGGTGAGCGGTCAGATCCCATTGTTTTGAAGTAAATGTGTCCCAAAGTCTGAAAATCAGTGTGGAACATTAAGAATTGTTACTACTGAAACACAGATTTTCTACGGTTAACTAACGTTTTTGTGTTATAATAAAAATATGATGATTTTCTGTGTGAACATGATGATTTTTTTTTATGTATGTATGTATTTATGTTTAAATATCTATATATTTTTCCGTACCAAAACAAGCTCGTCAGTGCAGTCCTTCTTTTTAAGACTGTACCAAGTTGTTGATTTGGCCCCTCCTAAAGTTTCTGCTCTTTCTGTTTGTTTTGTGTTTTCAGCCTAATGGTGCCCCATGAACAGCTACAAATACATATTCAACATTTGTGATGATGTAACGAGGGAACAGGCCACACCTGGCCACGAAACTGTTCATCAGTCAGTTATAATTACGTTTGAGCCTGTGAAAGTGGAGGGACTGTGTAAAAACAGAACAGGTCTGTAATTCGTAGCTGTAGTATTTTGGTTAAAGCCGAAAGTCTACACTTCATCTTGACTGCTTCATTTCAGATCCGTCGTGGTGGTTTACAGAGGCATAATTACAAAAATGTTACTGTCCAAATACTTATGGACCTGACTGTATCGTTGGTCCTCAAGATTAAGAAGCCATGGTTTAGGTTTAGGTTTCATGCAGCTCTAAGGCTGCAACTGTTCCGTAACTGGAGGATCTGTTATTGGAGTTATCGGCTGATTCAGTTCCGCTGCACCGTCGGCGTCATTCACAGCTCCGTCTTTTCAGCAGCTGATTTGTTGAGCAGCTAAACAGTCCTGTTCTTACTGCAGTCCTTTAATCGTGCTGTGGGTTTATGTATTTATATGTATGAAGGGAGGCTCAGTCTGTTTACTGTAACTGAGGGAGTCTGTCAGTGTTTTCCTCAACAGGAACTTCCCCTCAGGCTGACTCACTCATTTCATCACAGAGACCAGAAAAGTTTAATTTAGTTTTCACTATTTTATCATAACGTAATTGTTGTCATTGTAGCTTTTATAGACTGTCCTGGCTTGTGTCACTGAATATCTCTCTCTCTCTCTCTCTCTCTCTCTCTCTCTCTCTCTCTCTCTCTCTCTCTCTCTCTCTCTCTCTCTCTGCAGTTTCTCCTGAAGCTCTTGGGTTCCTTTCTGCCGTCGGAGTTTTTGTCTTTCTTATGATCCTCATTTTTCTGTACCTCAATAACAAGCTGTCCATCGAGAACGCTGCTCCACGGCCACACGAGCACTACAGGAAGGGCAAGGACCTGCCAGGTGAGCGAGAGGGAGACAGCAGTCTGTTTCCTGGTTGCTGAGGGGCAAGAGGGGTAAAACTATGTTAAACAGTGGCTGTTTACATGCAGAGATTTTCACCCATCCTATCGAATTCATTTCGATTATAGATTAAGGCCAGAAATATACTCAACACAAGTACACAGACGCAAAGGACAACGGCCAACCTTCTGTACAGACTCAGTGTGTTCTTATGGTACTGTCACAGTTAAAACAGTCGATACTCAAGGGGGCGATAGAGGACCAAAAAAGAACAAAGTCTACTGTTTATCCAGTAGGGCTGCAACAAACAACTAATTTGATAGTTGAATAATCTGTCGATTACTGAAACGAATAATCGATTATTTGGATTATGAATCACTACATTACCAAATAACTCTTATGTAGCTATTAGCTTTTAAATGTAGCTTGAGGTTGTATTTTGCATTTGATAACTAACAATGAAGACAATATAGGTGAACAACTTTATTTAAAAATTCACTGCTTTGTTATATTTTATTGTTGCTATTTTGCACATTCTTGATTTTAAATTTTCACAGGAAAAACATGGAATGGTTGGGAAAGTGGTTGGAATCGTTTGTGGCAAACTTGTTCTCTATGAACAATTAAATTTGAACGATTTTGTGTAAACGTTTAATTTCAGCGGTAACCCTTTTGTCCAGCTGCCCTGTATGTTCGCTGGGAATTACCTCCTGTTTGGAGCCGAACATTCGTGGAGAACGGAAAACTGTTAGTAATCGCTCTCCTGTGTTCGCCGAATTTGAACGCACCAGTGGCCTCGATGTTAAGACAGCAATGCAGTGTTTAAAACTGTAAACGTTATCTGGAAAGTGAACAGAGTTGCTGTGAATAATAGTTACTTGCTTCTCTGTTCCAACTCCATTAACGATTCCAGAGAGCAGTATTTCAAAATAGATGTTACAGCTCAGCTCAGAACATAAAGTAGGACGGCTTCGGCTTTAATATTAGCTAACTAGCTCGCTAGCACAACTATCGCCGCGTCCCAAACTACACACTTCTGTACTTCACACACTACACTAATGAGTGCACTTCTAATGGTATTTGTGCTATTTTTACACACTACTTAGTGAGCTAGTATGCGGTTTGGGACGCGACGTATCTTACCGAGGTAAATCTTAATCCAGTGAGGCGACGTGTTTCCTCTTCAGATGCTCCAACATGGAGGCTGTGCTCCCATAGCCAGCTGAGGTCGGCTTACCAACAGCACAACTGCTAACCTTTTTTCTGAGTTTAGCATGAAATGCTCCCTCGCTTTAAGGATTTTGTTCTTAAACTGACATTGCGCTTTTGTCAGCTCATAATGACGTCACGAAATAATGGACTGTTAAATTAGTTGCCAACTAATTTGGTCATCGATTTTAGTCGACTAATAATCGTTGCACTCCTATTATCCAGCAGCCTTTAACAGCTATACATTACCTGAAAATAAGGTCCAGCATCTCTCTTTATCTCAGCAATCCACTGGCGACGGCTGTCTGGGTTACTCGATGGAAAGACAAGCCATGATCACATTCACGTCTTCGATAAGTGTGCCACCCGAGCGTCACTGCCTCATCTTGCTTTCCTGCTGCTCCGTACGAAATTCCTCCCACCACAGCCTCGATTTCATACATACATACATACATCATCTAAACCGCTTATCCTACTGGGTCGCGGTGGGGTGCTGGAGCCTATCCCAGCTGTCATTGGGCGGAAGGCAGGATACACCCTGGACAGGTCGCCAGTCCATCGCAGGGCAGACAGACAGACATACACAGTCACACACTCACTCACACCTAGGGGCAATTTTAGCACGTCCAATCGGCCTGACTGCATGTTTTTGGACTGTGGGAGGAAACCGGAGTACCCGGAGGAAACCCACGCAGACACGGGGAGAACAGGCAAACTCCACACAGAAACGACCCTGGTCGCCCGGCCGGGAATCGAACCCAGGCCATTCTTGCTGTGAGGCAACAGCGCTACCCACTGCGCCACCGTGCCGCCCCAGCCTCGATTTCGTGCATGAAAATTTTTAAAATGCAGACCGGCATGATATTAAAGCGCATAGCAGCTCTTTTCAGTTCACAGCACTGTCAGCTGTGTTAACCTTTATTGAAACAACGCAAAACCTGCATCACTACCTGTGTACAGAATAGAGCTCTGCAGAGTTAACACGTACGCATACATCTGCAAAGGCGTCGTTCACGTCTGGGTATCAGAATCTGTACTACTGACTGAAGCCCTATTCAGACAGGATAGTTTGTCCATGGGAAGGTGGGGTCAAGCATGTTTACCACAGGACGTCTGTAATGTGTATGAGTGATTCTGACTCCAGAAAGGAAAAAAATGATGTTAAAACATTTAATTTAGCCTTTATTTGTTTACCCTAACCATTTACCTCGCTGTCTTAAGTGAATGCATGAATCATTAGCATCGCCATTAGCTTGGGAATTTACAACAGTCAGCTACGCCGCAAAAAATCAAACTTTTCTCTGTAATTTTTACGTGTTCTGAGTTGTACAGATGAGAGGACAGTAACTTTACTTACCGGCTTGATTGTAGTCACGGAAGTCAGCTTCTTATTCGCCAGTTTCTTGTTCACTGTTAAAAAACGAGAGGTCAGCTCAACCTAAAATGATATAGTAACTGATTACATGGCTTTTCTTGAGTTCACACAACTCAAACTTCTCAGCTGAGTCAAAAGTCTTCTTAATTTTTTAGTTCTGCATCTCAGTTCGGTAAATAAAATGCAATTATTATGATTATTATATTCAACTTTCCCACCAGCCAGGACTCTTTCCATCATACAGTCCTGCCATACATTTCTCCTCTTGCGTACACACTTACTGTGGCTGTGGCATCACTGGGGCTCAAACTCACAACCTCCTGTTGGGGTGATGGTTCAGTCCACTGCACCACTCAGAAACACATGAAGCAACTCAGACTTTGTGTCTACAAATGTTTAAAACACTGGAGAGAATATTTGCTGTTTTAACTTCAAAGCATGGCATCGTCTCATGTGGTGCAGCTGTCTAATAATTCATCCCAACATCAGGAGGTTGTGAGTTTGAATCCCAGCAATGCCACAGCTGTCTCTATCTAGAAGCCCACAGAGGAAAATATGCCAGATGGGACTGTGTGATAGAAAGAGCGCCAGCTAGTGGGGAAACGCAAATTCAGTTTGGTTTATCTAATTGAGATGCAGACAGATGTAGAAAGAGTAGCTGGGAGAACTTTTGACTCAACTCAGACGTTCGAGTTGTGCGAACTCAACTTGAGTCGACTCAAGAAAAGCCATGTTATCAGTTACTACATCATTTTAAGTTGAGCTGACCTCTCATTTTTTACAGTGTTCGAATTTTCCTGTTCCACCTTCATTGCCTCAATAGTTTGATTCTGGTGCCTCGGGTGTTACAATAATAACTGGTGCCGCACAATTTAAGGTGGAACGGGAAAATTCAAACAAGAATCTGACTTCAGCTTCATCAGAAAACAGAAGGAAACGTTTCTTCGAACCTCCACACTTACGAAACTCCTTTTCCACAGACCGTGAGTTTTTACCAACATGTCGATTCGCATGGGATTAAAATATCCTGGGGTTATTTCTACAGCTCGTTTTAGTGAAGGTAAAAAGTGCTGAAATCTCTCCTGGCGCACTCGGTAAAGATGACTGACATGGAGCATTCGGACGAGACTAAAATAACTGAGAAACATCGGTAATGATTACATTACCCATCTCCTCATGTAAAACTAGTTCCATCCAAATAGGGCTTAACTGAGTGTAATTACAGTAACTGAGACCTGTTAGAGGCTCCTGGGGAACAGCTAAGACAGGACAAGGTGGGGCCAAACTTATCAAGCCCTGCCAATTAACCTGTCAGTCAAAGGCTGCTTGTGATTGATTGGTTGGAATAGATAGCTCTTGCCAGTGCCAGCGCCAGTGCCAAGAGCAGTCTGAGTTTGAATGGAGGAGCATCACATAACACTCCAGTGTCGAATCTGAAATGCATCCAAACCCACACACACTCGTGCGCGCACACACACACACACACACACACACACACACACACACACACACACACACACATAGTCCTTCAGCCTGGCCCACATTCACTCAGGAACACCTACATAAACCCTGCAGACAGGTCGCTCCAGCCTGTAGCTCCTCGCTGCCCACACACAGTGTTATGTAACTATACATAGCATTAGCATTGCATAACACAGCTTCATTTCCGTGCATCAGGTCATTTGAATATAACAGTAATCTCAGGATGGTATTCTGGGTGGCATGACTAGGCAGCTACGCTGTTTGTTTCCGATCTTACAAGCAAAACGATCGTTAATCAAAATATCCATGGAACTGTCAACAGCAGAAATGTACAGTTGTGTGCAGATGTTTGGGCGAGATCGATCGACTGAGTGAAAAGAAGTTAGAATCCTCTACAGGAAACGCACTTCTGCACATTTCAATATACAATTACTGTGTATTAGTTCATTTAACCCCTAAAATGGCTAAGGATTATTATTATTACACACTTATATAACCTAAGAGTAGCTCAGCCAGTTTGCATTGAAGTCTGTAGTAACTGTAGTTACTAAATATAAAGCCTTAATGTAATAAAACATACACCAATCAGGCATAACATTCTGACCACCTCCTTGTTTCTACGCTCATTGTCCATTTATAGGTGCACTTTGTAGTTCTACAGTTACAGACTGTAGTCCATCTGTTTCTCTGATACTTCGTTAGCCCCCTTTTACCCTGTTCTTCAGTGGTCAGGACCCCCATGGACCCTCACAGAGCAGGTACTATAAGGGTGGTGGATCATTCTCAGCACTGCAGTAACGCTGACGTGGTGGTGGTGTGTTAGTGTGTGTTGTGCTGATACGAGTGGATCAGACACAGCAGTGCTGCTGGAGTTACTGCCTGACTCATGCAGACCTGGAGTTTACCCATCATCTGATTATTGAGCATGAAAACA